TGGTACTAAGGAAATAAACAAATATTTTTCTTTGTCTCCATTTTGAGGATACAAAGAACATTCTAGTAATAGCTATAAATTAGAAGGTGAAAGGGAGGGAGAAACTTCTCAAAAGTACAAAACCCAGCGAAATGGTACTAAGCAAACTGAGAGCTGCATGCCAATAAGTCTCAAGATCCAAATGAACATTACCACTGGAAAGTGATAGCTAATGTGGTAGTAGATACATTAGTGTTATTTTCCCACAATGTTAGATTCTAGAAAGGCTCCATCAAATTGGAAAGTACCAAATACAACTCCACCAGTCGAGAAGGAAGAGAGCTGGAAGCAGCAAACTGTAGGCAGTTAGCATGATCCCTGTTAGGGGAAGGTGTGAAAATTGATCATTCAAGTGGTTATAGCTGGGCACTTAAAAACCTCAAGGCAGTAAGGAGAAGTCGGTACTCCTTTGTGAAAGAGAAATCTTATTTAACCAGTTTATTGGAGCTTTTTGAAGGAGTATCGTGTATTGTGAATAAAGGAGAGCAGATAAACATACTTTACATGAATTTCCAGAAGGCATTTGACAGGGTGCTACATAAAAGGTTATTGTCCAAAGAAGATGCTCATGGTAACAATGGGTAACCTATTAACATTCACAGAAGATTGGCTATTTGGCAGAGAACAAAATATGCATAATTTGAGTCTTCTTCTGATTGATAGGATGTGAGTGGAGTCCCGCAGAGATCTGTGCTCGACTCTCACGTTTTTTTCACAACAATGACTTAGATGAGAAGAGTGAAGGCAGGGTAGCTAAATTTGCAGACAGCACAAAGATAGGTAGAAAGGTATATTGAGACGAGAGCATAAGGAAGATCCAATTCTTGAGGCTAAAGGGTATGGGGCTAAAGCGAGAACAAGATGATCAGCCACAATTATATTTGAATGGTTTGAAGGGCCAAATAGCCTACTTCTGCTCCTATGTTCTATATTTATAAAACTTCTCTGATCATCCTTCCTTAAGTATTGGTGAGCAATACTGTTGACATCACTCCAGATCTGCTCTCATCAGTGCCCTGTATAACTGAAGCACGACCTCTCTACTTGTGCATTCAATTCCCCTTGCAATAAACTGGAACATTCTACTAGGTTTCCTAATTACATGGTGTACTGCATACGAGTCTTTCATGATTTATGCAAAGAAGCTCCAGATGTCTCTGCATCTCCGAGTTCTAAAATCTCTCACTATTTCGATATTTTTTTAAAATCGTTTTCTTGCCAAGATGGACAATTTCATATTTACAAGGGTTAGACTCATTTTACCAGACTTCTGCCCACTCACGTAAGTTCTCCCTCTTTTTGTAGCATCAATATATCCTCTCAACGGTTCTTCCTACCTACTTCTGTGTCATCAGAAAATTTAACAACTATACCTTCCATCCCTTCATCCAAGTCATTCAGATAAACTGAAACATTGATCCACGAGGCACACCAACAAAAACTGAAAAGAACCAATTATATAAATAACATTCAAAAAGCTTGACACCGTCCAGGACTAAGCAAGAAGCTCAACTGCTGCTCCATTCATACTCACTTCTCCCACCCTGATACAGAGTAGCAAACAGTGCATTCTACAAGAAGCAACGCAAAAATTCACCAAGGTTTCTTGAACACCGCCCAAACCCAAGTCGAAGGACAAGGGCAGCAGAAATGACACCACCTTGTGAAGTCACACCATCCTCAAAATTTATTCCCACTCCTTAACTGTTGCTGGGTCAAAATCCTGAAACTCCCACATTAATAGCATCATGGGTTTATGTACATCAAATGGAATAAGTGGTATAAAGGTCGCCAGCACCTTTAAAAAAAAAGTGATGGGTAATAAGTTCTGGCCTCGTCAGCTAAGCCCAAATGTTCTGAATAAATTTTTAAAAAATTGTTACATCATGCCAACATGAAAAAGACCCATTTATGCCTACGCTCTGCCTTCTGTTAGCTTGCCAATCTTTTACCCATGCCAAAAGACTACCACTAGATGATGAGTTTCGATTTTCCTGCAATAACCCATGATATAGATCATGTGAAATGTTTCCTGGAATCCAGTTACAGGACATCCACCAGTACCCCTTTGGCAACAGCACATACCTCTTCAAAGAATTCCAATAGATTGGTCAAACATGATCGTTGCTTCACAAAACCACATTGACTCTGCTTGACTACCCTGAACTTATCCAAGAGTCCTGTTATCATTTCTTTAGTAGTAGCTTCCAACACTGTGTGCATGACATATGCTCGGATAGCTGACCTGTAGTTTCCTGCTTTCTGTCGCCCTCCGTTTTAAACTAAAGAAACTACAGTTGCCATTTTCCAATCTAGTCCAACCTTTTCTGAATCGAGTGGTGCAGAAAATAAAACCAATGCATCAACTATTTCAAAGCTACTTGTTTTAAGAATCTAGGATGAAGTCCATTCAGACTAAGTTGCTTGTCAGCCTGCAACTCCAATAATTTACTCAGGAACACTTCTCTAGTTGCTACCAGTGTCCTCTAAAGTGAAGACTGATGTAAAATCTTACTGCAATTGCATCTGCAATTACTCCACTTTTCAATTGCTAACTCTCCAGACTTATTTTCTATTGGACCAAAACTCACTTTGTTAATTCCTTTCTATTCTAATTCTTCTTTTTAAATCTTACTGCCTGTTTTTATACTTCTGGCTAGCTTTCTCTAACACTCTCATCTTCATCTTGTTTATTAATTTTTTAACCATTCTTTGCTGATATTTTTTTTCATATTCTGCCCAACTTCTGACCTACCACCTGACTTTGCATAATTGTAGGTTTTTGTCTTAAGTTTGATACTATTTCCAGCCTTTCTACTTAACCACAGATAATGTGTCTGCCGCTTGGAATTTTTCTTATTCACTGCAACGTATCTGTTCTGTATATTCTGAAATATCTCCTTAAAGAGCCCACCACTGCAACTCTACTGACCCATCTTTAATCTAATATGCTAATTCGCTTTAACGAGTCCTGCTTTCATGTCTTCAACTTCCCTCATTTAAGTTCTCTGAGGCAGTCCTTGCTCCCTCAAACTGATTGCTTAGATATGTACATATAGATTGAAAACTCCCCTGATTATTGCTATGCCATTCTGCCAAGCTCTCATTCGTTTATATTCCACCCTACAATGCCGTTATTGTTCTGGGGCCTTTAGTCCACTCCCACAAGTGACTTCTTGCCTTCATAATTTCTAATTTTTTTACCCAAACCATTTCCATGTCCTGGTATCCTGGACTTACATCATCCCTCTTTACAGTGCTAACATCAGCATTAACTAACAGAGCCACTCATTCTCCTTTTCGTTAAAACAACTTCAGTAATGTATTGGCTACCATTATTTACGGTATATCAATGCCTGCTCTCAATTCATCTGCTTTGTTTCAAATGTAACGTAATGATTCAGATATAGAGTCTTCAGTTGCATCCTTTTATTCTTTTTCTAATTTCTAGTCTTACCTATTATTTAATTGTTAATTTATACTCTCTATTATTTCCTGTTGCAGTCTGTTCAGATAAGTACTTTTCTCTTTAGCCTTGACTACTCTTTGATTTATATCTTTGCAAATTTGATTACTTGTCCCCATTATTTAGTTTTAAATCCTCTGTACTTCCTTAGTTATGCAGCTTACAAGAACGCCAGCCTCAGCATGTTTCAGGTAGAGATTGCCCCTTCACATCTCACTTTGCCCAGTAATGGTGCCGGTTCCCATTGAACCAGAAAGTACTTATCCCATACTAGTCTTTGAGCTACACATTTATCTCTTTGATCTGATACGTTGAATGACAATTTATACATGATTTGGGTAATAATCCAGAGATTCTGTCCCAAACCCTGGTACCATGCAGACAACACAGCTGTCTCGACTCAGGCACTTTGCTGCAGGGAACAATGCAAATTCTTTGACTGCATTGTTTCCATCTACCAATACATTGATTTCTAGATGCCCAATTTTTCTGATTTCGTGTGCCATGATCCTACGTTCAGTTAGCTCCTCAATCTGCAACATGCACTCAGATCCAAACAAACTGAAATAACGTCAACCCTGTTGGAAAATTGCCTTTCCTGCCGGACTCATCCCACCCAATCACTGCCAACCTTTCAACTCAGATGGTGGCTCAGTGGTTAGCATTGCTTCCTCACAGTGCCAGGGACCCGGGTTTGATTCCAGCCTCGGGTGACTGTCTGTGTGGAGTTTGCACATGCTCCCTGTGTCCGCATGGGTTTCCTCCAGGTGCTCCGGTTTCCTCCCACGGTCCAAAGAAGTGCAGGTGAGGTGGATTGGCCATGCTGAATTGCCCGTAGTGCCCAGGGATGTTTAGGTTAGGTGGGTTAGACATGGGAAATTAGAGGAATGGATCTGGGTGGGATGCTCTTCGGAGGGGCGGTGTGGACTTATTGGGCCAAATGGCCTGTTTCCACTCTGCAGGGATTCTATGATCTATGATCATGTCTTAACACTAGTTTTGCCCTGTTTTATTTCGCAGGTGTTTACTAATATTGAGTTCACACATTTGTAGTAAGGCATTCCAAGGTTATTTGATAATCCAGAAAATTCCCAAATCCAGAAGTGCCTAGGACCAAACATTCTGGACTGAAGAGATATTCAATTACTTGTACTTCATTAGCACCATAAATGCAACCTAATAGATGGAGAATTGGAGATTAAGTTGAGATCACTTAGTATAGTGCTGATAGGAAAATAGAACTCAATAGAAATAACGGTTTAGATAATTTTATGACAGTTGGTTTTCCTTATGGAAGGCAAATCTTGGTAGATGGACAAAGGTTTCATTTGGATGCTTTGAAAACGTTACACGAAGATTCGCATTGCAGTCGATGTGAATTCATGAAAGAGGCACCTAATGTTATACAAGTGCAAAGTAGTAGTTGTTACGGGCAATGCAACTACAAGATTCTGGTTATACCAATTCAAGCAGAACATCAGAAAAAAATACATACCCTTAATGGACCTTTTACTTGGTCATCCTGGACAATGTGTGTAGAACTGTCATGCTTAAAGATCACCTAGGCAAAGTAAGAATCAAAAACAGACTTAGGCATTCTGAAAATTCAGTGAGGCATCATAGTAGAACCACAAGCCAGAGGTAGCTGAATAAAGTCGTAGATTTCTGGTGAACAGCAAGCAACATACCTTGACCTTTACTAAACGCTTCACGGTCTTAATTTTTGCCTCGCAGAAGGCACCACGGTACTTGGCACTAACATCTGTCCCCACTGTGAGATAGGCAGGCTCATCAGCTGCCTGTAAATCAGAAAGACAATAAATATATTAAGTTGGAGAACAATCAAGAATTAAAAATCAATTCGAAACAGTTCTAATAAAGTCTAACGTGGAAAATCCATAATTGGCCTAAATCGGAACTTCAGAACAAAAGCAAAAATTCATACACAACTTAAAACATTAAAGTTTGTTTCTCTCTCCATAAAATGGTGGCAAACCTGCTGAATATTTCTGGCATTTTTATCATCATTCTGAAATACTGGTTTTCACCCAATTCCATAGATCAAATTGATACATGTGGAACTACGACATAAAAAAGTCCCAGTCTGGTCTTTGTTTTGATGAAAGTAACATAAGAGACAAGAGAGTGGAATGCTTAATAATTGTTTTCAGTATTGACCAGGCTTGAAGAAGTGGGAGCAAAAGAAGAAAACAGCATTTCCTGCTGTGATTGCAGAAAAATAAAAATGGTTTAGCCATCTTTTAATTGAAAGGTGAAAAAAAAAATCCCCAATACTGCTTTCATGAATAAAAACAGAATTTGCAATGTCCTCTGACAGACAAAAATTGTTACTGGAAGTCCTTTTCAAGGCATTTTAAGCCAACATGTATATTCATGCCTTTTATCCTCTGTCACCTGCATACCAGCTGAATGATCAACAAATAAGCAGTATTCTTATCATCCAAACAAGATTTCTCTGATTTAATTAGCACAGTAATATTAGATAAAATAGTCAAACATTGGCCATCTTCTGGAACTCAGGTACACCATGTCAAGTAACCAGTTTAACCATCTCCAGTCTACAGAAAAAGCACAATGTACTCATTTATATATTTAAAACGGATCTGCCTCGATCTACCTTCATGCAGTCGCATAGATTTTGTGAAACAATCAAAAGGATAAATCACATGCCGACACTTACGGCCAGATTCATACAAAAGAAGGGTCAGTTGAATTTTTATCACGCCTTTGACAGCAAATCAATGTCTCAGAGCATTTTACAGGTAATGAAATACTTTTGTAAGGTAGTCATTGCTGTAATGCAGGAAACATGGCAACCAACTTGTGTAGAGAAAGCTCCAATAAGAGCAAAGCCACATGCTCACATAATATGTATTTCTAGCATTGCTCGAGATTTAGACATTAATCCAGGTGCCAAAGGCATGCACCACTCTTCTTCGAAATAGTGCTGTGGAATCTCTTATGTCCACCAATAGCGGATAGATAAAGTCTGGTCCAAAATTGGCCCCTCAAACAATGTAACAGTCCCTACGTACTGAGTATCAATATGGAGTTTTGCACCGCAGTTCTGGACTAAGACGTGAACCTGAAATTTTCTGGCTCAGAAGCAAGATTAGAATTCAATGAACCATAGTAAACAAGTATGATCCATTATGCGAGGTACATGGAGCTGATGAATTCCAGGGAGCCTAACCAAAGGTCCTTATAGTAGAGAACAAGATAAAGTAGGAAAAGGGTACTGTATCTCTTTTTTAATCGACCATGCTATAGTTATATTCCCAATAATTAACCCTCATCATAAGGTAGTCATATCTTCTCCAAGTGTTAGTGCCATACCACTTTGGCTTTACATTGTTGCAGAACTGCAACTGGTTAGAAGTAAACTTTAAAAGATGTCAAATGATCAAATAATTGACCAGAAACATTTAGGGGTCATTTAAAAAAAAACTTTCATGTGAAAGATCCAATCTTAGTTAGTGATTTGTCAACATTAAAAGCGAAATCATATTTTGATGCAAGTGAAACAGTACAATGCTGACAATATACATTAGCGCTCCAAATACTAAATCTCACAAACAATATCCAAAATACTCAATTGAAGGATTCAGTTTTCTAGTCTTTGGAGTTCACCACTGCTTCAGTGTCATTTTCAGTGTCTCTTACATTCAACAGAACTGCAAACAGTATACAGGGCAGCACGATGTATAAAATGATCATAGAGAAGTTTTTGATAAATATGTTTCTTTTACATAAAGGAGAAAAGCCAGCTCAGGTATCTAATTACTAATGCTGTAATGCAATATTCCTTTTCTTACGAAAGTCATTCTACATCAATGCAAATTCTTGCTTATAGTAGCAAGTAAAATATATTCAACCTTCACATGACTAAATCACAATACAAATAATTATCTGTCATCTTCCACCATTGGGAAACAGACAGGGAAACTCTAAGGGACACACATATTTCACACTCTTTATGGAATACTACACTGAAGGGCGTTACACAGCAACACATCTCGTGGCTGAGAGAACAATAGCAACCATCTAAATGTTGTCTATGCGATACACTCTAGATTGCATACAATACAGCCTAAATGTACTTTTTAAACAAAATGCAAGAATATTTAAAGCTACAGTTCAGTATTAAATACATGCTTTGCAACCAGTTTGTGAAGTTGAATTTTGTAACGTGTTAACTGATCTTGAAAAAGAAAACACATATCAATAACAATCAGTTAAGTCCAAAAGATGCTCAAAATCAGCACTCCTTGGTGTAATATAGAAAGAAATACTTGATCTTAGAGTGCAAAAACAAATTGATCATGTTTTTCCTGCACACCACCCACAAGAAACCATTTGCAAGGCATTTGTTCCCATTTTAGACATGATAGAATTATGCTTTTTGCTGGAAACCACTATATATGAGGATGAGCAACTTTACTGGCGAAGGCTTTTCAAAATTCAGAAGACCATAAAAAATTAGGAGAATTTTTATATTGCAACAAGACTGCTCCATCATTCAGAACTCCTAAATCAACTCTACATTCCTGTACTGTCCCCATTTCGCTCAATTTCTTCAGGCTGAAACATTCAATTACTAAGCACCATAACCTTCGAGGATGAAACGAAATTCCAAAGATTCACAACCAGTTCAGACAATACATTTTTCCTCAGCTCAAATCTGAAATGGCTGACTGTCTATTCTAAGATCACAACCATATACTCTCCAGTTGGGAAAAATCAGCGTCTGAGAATTTATCCTGTAAAAGATGTGAAGAATGAATTCTACTGTGCTTTAGCCAAGTCCACCAAAACTACATATCAGTACTCAATTCTCAAAATAAACGGGCGCTGTGCATAAATTCACCCCTGAAAATCTCCAAAATGCAAGGAAATTCAACTGTGACCAGAGGAAGTCACACGTGGTAAAAATTGTCAGAACCAATGAGGAGGTGCTCTGAAAATCATTTGCTACAGGGCCACATCAAAGGCCACAATGCAAAAATAAAAGCTCTTGGTAGAGGGAGTGACATATTAGCAAGGACAGACAATTAGCTGGGTGGCAGAAAATAAATATTACCCACAAATGTATCTTTCTCTACTTGGTTGGATGTGACAAACGGATCTCTGCAGGGACCTATGCTGTGACCTCAACTTTGTACAGTTACATCAATGACTTATTTTAAAGGAGTCAAAAGCCAAATAACACAAAAACAGTGGAATATTATTTTGTGAAGACATAAAGGTGGTTGCATATGAATATAAATAGGTTGAATGAGTGGGCAAAATCTGGCAGATGTGAGCATAAACACGAAGTTTCCTTCGGCAGGAAGAATGAAAAAATATAGTATTACTAAATATGGAGAACAACTGCAGATTTCTGAAGTATGGAAGGATCTTGGATTTCTAGTACAAAATATGTTAGTAAGCAGGTACACATTCAACCAAGAACGCTAAAGGGATGTAATCCTTTATACGTCAGATCACTGGACTCAAATGATTAACTGTTTCTCTCTCTACAGATGCTGCCAGACCTGTTGTGTTTCTGCAGTACATTTTTTGTTCTAGATTTCCAGCATCAGCAGCTCTTTGTATTTATAAAAGTGAGGATGTCATGTTTCAATTGAACAGGGCATTAATGAGACTACGTAGAGTAATAGAGATGTACACCATGGAAAAGACCCCTAGGTCCAACTCGTTCACGCCGACCAGATGTCATAAATAAATCCAGGTCCATTAGCAAGCATTTGAACCAGATCCCGTTAAACGCTATTTGTTCATATATCCATCCGGATGCCTTTTAAAGGTTGTAATTGTACCAACCTCCACCATTTCATCTGGCAGGTCATTCCAGACACACAGCACCCTCTGTGTGAAAAAGTTGCCCCTTAGGTCCCTTTCAAATCTTTCCATCTCACCTTAAACCTATGACCTCTAGTCTTGGAGTCCCCCCACCCCAGGAGAAAAAAAACCTTGTCTATGCACCCTATCCTTGTCCCTCCTGATTTCATAAACCTCTAAAGGTCACTCCACATCCACCGACACTCCAGGGAAAATAGCCCCAGCCTATTCAGCCTCTTCCCTAAAGCTCAAACCCTCCAATCCTTGTAAATCTTTTCTGAACTTTTCAAGTTTCGCAACATCATTCATATAGCAGGGAGGCCAGAATTGCATGCAGTATTCCAATAGTGGCCGAACCAACGTCCTGTACAGCCACAACATGACCTCCCAACTCCTATAATCAATGCACTGACCAATAAAGGCAAGTATACCAAACCCCTTCTTCACTATCCTATCTATGTGCAACTCCACTTTCAAGGAACTATGAACCTGCATTGTACGCTGATGGGATAGGTTTCCTTCCCTGGCTGGTATACGAAACATCAACTTTTTGGTTAACAGCTGAATGCTATGACCGATTATCCTGTCCAAATATGTCGTTTCTTCCTGATCCAGATTGAATTCCATTAACCACTGATCAGCCTATCTGACTAGCCTGTCTGTGTCCTCCTGTAGGCGAAGGCTACCCTCCTCACTATTCAGCACCCATTACTTCTGTATCATCTGTGAACTAACTGACCAACCTTCCTACATTCAGGTCTACATTATTTACATAAACAATAAGGCCCCAACACTGATCACCGTGGGTCCTGACTGGACACAGACTTCCAGTCAGAATAATGACCCCTCGAATATCACCCTCTGCTTCCTGCCACTCAGCCGACTGTGGATCTAATTTGTCAAATTTCAATGGATTCCATGGGGTCTTACCTTTGTT